CACTTTCACACTATAAATGTGGTTCTCCAAACAGTAACTATACGATGAGTCTACAATCAAGAATATATTTAATGAGAAAAGAGCCATAAGAAGCGCAGTTTCGGCCTAATGGAGAAGCAGCAATGCTTAAGGCTTGCTCTGCCTAAAATTCGCAGTCACAACAACGCACCAATGAAAAAAGGTTTTTGCTGAACTGTATTGTTTGACTGTATGCACTTGAAAACAAACGCCTAAAAACTATGAATCTGAAAAATTTGACGGTTGCCTCAAATTGTGATGGTACCCATTTGCGTACTCCTGATTTTTCGAACGATTCTAAAATTGAGTGCAACAAAAGTATCAGACTGAAATGACTTTCAGTATAATTTACAGGGCGTCCGCTGTTAAATAAATGCTCTATAAACGCTATCGTTTACGCTACATCCAAGAAAAGAATGCTTTCACTCACCACGAGGACGCAGCGGAGCGCTTGTGCAGCACTCAGGCGTTTTTGTTCGTTCGTTTTGCGAATATGACAAGACACACGTTGTCACTTCTCATGGCTCCGTAAACACAACTCATTCTTAGTGCGCCAAGACACATTTGGACACTTGGATATCGAATTCTGATGATCTGTAGCCTTTAAAACAATGGTACCCAATAGGGAACCCAGGGACCGAGTGTGTTATTGCGCTTAGTGCTTAACGCTTAGTCCGCCAGAAGTTATCCATTCGTCCGACGGATTAAGTAAGAGAATTATACAGACGTTCTTTGATCGACACCTGCAATGATCTCAGCATTAATTTTTGTGTTATGAGATGGATGGCGCTGTACAATTGTTGGACATATCTCTCATAATGCCACCAATTCTATACTTTATGTCATTTTTCGTTTATTATTTCAAAGCTGTAGCAATTCTTCGAAGAACCGTGTTTAGGGTGATCAGCCTGTATGCTTTGAAACGTGTTTTTACTTGTGAGAATAAGCGCGTACATGAAGGGGTTGGGGTTAACGGGAGTCGAAGGCATCTGTGTTGCATCCCAAGTAGTGTACTTCCCTTCTTTACTCCCAGAAAGCCAGGGACCAAAAGCAAGCCATTTTGAGAAAAGTGCCATCACTTCATTTTCAACTATTGCTTTTCGTTATTTGAGAAGCATGCATGTGTTTTGAACTCGAACAACGAATAGCAAAAAAAAGGGGGAGGGGGAGATCGTTAATGGGGAGCACTGAGCACGCCTATGCTTATGGCTTATGGGAGGGTCATATGAACCTACAGGTGCAGTTTATATGAGAGGCACAGTACATAACCAGTCAATAAGCATAAAAGTTGCTATGTATCCCTGGGCTTCCGGCGTTGGGCTCAGTTTCCAAGATCAAAGTATCCGAACACAGTACAAGAAATCTGGAGCTTGTCATTGTTTACGTCACGGCTAGATGGGCGTATTACGTGGGCCCAAGAAGCGCACTTTGACCTTGCGGGATGTGCGCAGTGTTTTACGTCAGTCTGAAGGGAGTCTCGCGAATAATGAAGAGACCACACAGTTAGCTCTTATGTAGCTCAGGCGCGTAGTCTAAGGAATAAGAGTCAGTTAATTCTGCTTGAAAACGGCACTTGTACAGCCGCTTTGGAGAGCCCTGACGGGTGGCCATATGATGGCAAAATCACTCATCACTCACTCTTTGTGATCAAATGAAGATGTCATCCATGAACCGACTCAGACAGACACTAACAAGGCTGCGAGTCTGAGCCTGCTTGAGTTCAGGAACAGGGCGTGAGCAGGAAGTTTTTTAGATGCGGAGCATCTAATACTCGAGGCTTGTAGTGCGGCGCCGTCCGCAAGCTTCCTCCTCCTTCTTCCACCATCTGTGCATCCCTTCCTCCTCTACACACCGCGCGCGCTTCACTCCTCCACCATCTGTGCACCCTTCCTCCTCTACACACCGCGTGCGCTTCTCTTCTTCACGAACATTCGCTAGCTGTATAATGTAGCGCGCATGCGCCGTCACGCTTCGAGAACATCGGCAGCTGACGCGCGCGCATGCGCCGTCGCGCTTCGAGAACATCGGCAGCTGACGCGCGCGCATGCGCCGTTGCGCTTCTCCCCCTTCTCGAACATTCGACAGCTGACGCGCGCATGCACCGTCACCCACCATCTGTGCCGCGCGCGCTTCTGCCCTTCGAGAACATTCTACAATTCTCCTGATTCTCCAGTGGACGCGCATGCGCCGTCGCGCTTCGAGAACATTCAACAGCTGACAGTGCATGCGCCGTCGCGCTGTATATATACTCAAGGTCGGCGCTCGCTCGCTCAGTTGCCGCTCGTCGGTTGGTTTGTACGGCGCGTCGACGTCCAAGGTCGCGGTGAAATGTATTCCAACGAATCCACAAACACAATGATCGACGTCCCTTCGACCAGCGCCGCCCTTTCGCATACGTGTGTACGTGTTCACTCATTTAACACCCCCTCCTACAACCACGTTAACCAATTTAGCCATCGACCCAAGTAAGTCGCAATTTAACACCCCATTTCACAATCACGTTAACCAATTTAGCCATCGACCCAAGTAAGTCGCACTTTAACACCCCGTTAACCAATTATATGCTCCGCATCCTCCTCAGTGTTCCCCCGAGGGAAGCTGTGGGCAATTTTTTGAGGGGGAGGGGGAACGTGCACGGTGTACCACCCCTGGTTAAGCCCTCTGGTCCGGGCCAAGTGTGTTATATTTCTGTGAGTCCGAGACAAAGTAAGGGATAAGCGTAAAATATCTTTTTAGATGGAGCCTGAGTGAGCTTCACTTACTTTTACCGACGTATGCGGGTGACAGACCAGACCTGTATGACATCGAGAGCGAGAATACTAATCTCTGGAATGATGTTCTCGGAATATCTAATAGACCTTTTTCAAGCACTCGCACAACACCCCGATGGGCACGTGGCACACTATGAGAAAAGTTGGTAAGCCGAGAGAACTGGCTTTTCCTCCGTCTGCTGCTCATTGGCGCCGTGCGAGCACAAAACGAAAAGGATATGCCACCGCTTGTTGAATAGGGTCCGAATGCAACTGCATATATCTATGCATGAAATGCGAAAAGAATAACGCAGTCAGTGTATACGTCTGGACGAGTGTACATCGAACGTAGATGATGAGCGGCATGCGAGTTGTTGGTTATACCGATACATGTGGTAAAAACATGTTATCGTGAGCATTGTGATTTGGAGCACTTAATTCATAGTTATTCGACGATGAACTGCTCGTAAAGTGCTAGGACCTTCACTACCATCGCGGTTTGATTGGATCGTTAACACAACGCTGCAGAAAAGTGTTACACCTTACAGAATTTTTTATATTTTATGGAACAAGGCATGCACTGAAAAAAGAAAAAGTAAACACATTCTGAAACGTGCTTAAAGACGAAGGGATGAAACTTGAATTCACGTGCGAGATACCTTGCTCTGATAATTTGTGGTTTCTTTAGGATGCTTGAGTGTACTCTGTGGAGCATGTTTGCTGCCAGTTTATTCTGTTGTGACATAGAGCACTGTTCAATTTCACGTCGGTGCATTCAAATATTGTTCAATGAGGAATAATGATGTTCTACTTACGCTCGGTGAAGAAAAAGAAAAACAAAATACTACAGGCGCTTTACCTGAACAATAGTTTCTAGCTGCAAGAAGTTGCGTTGTCCTGCCTATATCATAGGTGCGTCATTTTGTGAACAGCTCATTCGTACTGCAAACAATAATTCAGATAACCTTCATGCGGAAGAAACTAGGAATATTGGAGTTATCCCATGCATACGTTCTGCCCAGTCTGAAAGCAAGTTTGGAAGCGATACCAGGTGAGAGTTGTGCTCTCAGCACTATTAGCCTAGTAACATTTTTTTTCGTAGAGCGCGAGAAGATTGCAGGAGTCTGCAGTGGGCAGAGAAAAGTACTATGAAAGGCGTGCCAACTGTTCTTTCAAGTGTTGTGCAAGAGTTGCTAACCGATTTCCTCTTGTGTTCACATATAGACATCGGTCAGACTGATTGATGTATCAAGACGTGCCTCAGAGAGCATCAAAATTGATTGAATTGAAGCCATCTCATCACCTCTCGCATTTTCAGTACTCCAAATGCAATTTTATTTTTGAAGCCTAGTAGTCTTGCACAGGTAAACTAACCAGACCACACGAGAAATCTCGAAGACGTATAATAAAGGACATCGCACATTGTTTAGGTCAATTAACCTTCGCTATCGCTACAACAAAGAAACTTAACTACATTATTCAACTCTAAACACGCGCCTCGGTTGTTAGTCATTTTATACGTCTTTGTGACATGCGTGATGCGTCTCCCTTTTCTTAAATGTGTTGGACGTGCGATAACCTCGCAACCATGAGTGGGCTTTTCCGGTGTGCATAATTCGTTCTTGGTCCTACTTCTTTCTTTTCGCCTTGTCGGCTTGATTCCAACCTACAGTTACAGTTCAAGATATGTTACAGTAGATGGATTAGCTGCGAGCGGCGCGCAGTGGTCTATTCCACGTATTTTATTTTAAGGAATTGCGCTTATTCATAAAGCACTCTTTAAATATACCAGAACCCCACATTTATTCGTAAACAGCGTCGAAGGACACTGATTCCGAATACATCCGTGAATTTATGAACAGGGCTTGCACCTTGTAGGCAACCAAGTTGTACCGCTTTTTACTTATGCCGAAGGCATACTGACGCTAAGGGACAGTATAACGAACTGACGCTTCCGAGCCACTCAGCTGGTTGAACAGCGGGACAAGTGCGAATCGTAGACAGGCCATAGCACCTAAAACTGAAGTGTGTGAGTGAACTACGCAGTAATATATCACACCTTGCCGAGTGAACTTGATCTGAGAAGCGCTGGTACGATGCAAACGGAAAGTTGAAGCGTGAGACCTGCTCGCTCATTGCAGCGGCGTACCAGCTTTTCCCATTAGCGCTTCCGAACCCGTTGGCGGCACTAGTGTGCTTGAAAAAGGTCTATTACGCCGAAGATTTGCATGTCTAGTTCATAGAATCCTTGCTCACTTTATAAGCATTGAACAGAATCTCTGCAGTGACAACAGCCTCCAAGACGCGCCTTGGTACATTGTTGTCGATCCACCTCTGCTCCACGTGCATTTTCCTCAGGCACTGGTACCTCCTCCTCAGCGCATTGATGTAGCCGGAAGTCCACACCCTGTCATAGAAGCCCGTTTCGTTGAAGATGTCTGGACCATGCAGGAACAATTGGCCTGCCTGCATTTATTAGTGAAGACATGAGTTTCTGTGTTTCGAGTACAAAGTTTTATAGCACCTTTCCATGCATTGTTATGTATGTAGCTCTTTGAAATCGCGCTTGCATATGCGCAATTTATTCTGTGAATATTGGTCTGATGTGTGACCGATGGTGGTGCTGCAAACTGCACTTATATACATAGGTTCAAGGACTTGTGCACCTTACGGCGTCCTGTAGGCTCCTCGATCGACAAAGTTCTCGCCAAAAGCAGGTGATCCACCCAATGAGCAGCGGCTGCTGTAGCGCGGTTTAGAGCCGAGTCCACAAAGTGATGTCACACGCGATAGGGCACAAATACAACATGTCGATTCCAATAGGAAGCAGCTTAGTACTTTCCCGAGATAACTAATGATGATGCGTCGCCTTATGAGCAACTGACTCCTTACTTATCACAAAAAAATCACTGCATCTTCGATTCATAGCGCGTAATCACGCTACCCGTCCAGCGTAACACAGATTAAACATAGCCTTCCACTCGAGCCACTGAAAATTCACCGCGACATCTCACTTTTATCAAAATTTCACAAACTCATCCACACCAGCATGATGCCATCTGTTCACCTTAATCTAGCACATCGAACTTCGAGCAGACTACATAACACCTTTAGCTTATCACGCATGTATGGCAATAATAATGCTTTCAACCAGTCGGCTCTTCCACGAGCTATTCGTTTGTGGAAGGATTTGCCAGATGATCTTGCGTCAGAACAAGACCACACAAAGTTCTATCATACTCTTAAAAAATACTTATGCACCAAAAAGTGCTCTATTGCATCTTCGTAACCATCAGTGTTTATAGAACTGTTGCCGATGTTTTTGCACTATTGCTAGGTTGTAGTTACTGTCATATTAGTTTTTTTTGTATTTCACCTTCACATACTGTAACTCACTTTTCTAGTATGTATTTTCCTTACATGTTCATAAGTTGAACAGAATTTCTATTATATTCAATTTTGCCTATGTATGTGTAGATAATATGTATATATATTTTGCTAACATATTATCTGTACCGCCCCCCTTACACAATGCCTCTCGAGGGCTCTGTAGGGTACTGTAAATAAATAAATAAAATAAATAAATATTCGCAGAGTGAACGATGATGAATAGGGGAAGCGCCCGTCCGCCCATTCGTCCATGTGTCCGCCCATCCGTGCATTCGTCCATGCATCCGATCACGTTATAGAAGGTAGACGGCGCGCCGGTAACACTGACGAGACGTGAGCCAAGAAAGCCGAGCGCAAGCATCTTCAACGCATTCGCTGCTCTGCTTCGTCCATGCCCCACTAACGATCCGTCACATATGGTGACTATCCCGGAGACTGAGAAAGGCACTCGTTCTCCGCGCACTAAGGCAAAGTACGCGCAGCAGCCAATCGGAGAACAGCGGCACTTCGAAAAGTGGCGGCAGAGAAACGCCATCTAGGAAATGAGACGAGAAATGGTCATTAATTCCTTTTGCCTTATTTTCTTTTTCGCCTCTTCTTCTGTCGGTTATTCTGACCAGTGACAAGGTTAGACTAAGAGGAGCTTCGTCTATAAAAAATGTTTTCGAGGAATTAGGCTTGGTGAGTTAAGTGGTGGGGCAGGAAGGTAACGAGTGCAATCGGCCACCGCATGACACTTGTACAGCATACGACACTCAGAAAGTTGTGAGATGGGTGGACAGTGATGAATTACACTCGCGGGCTACGTGGAATATTCTCGTATTTTTACTTTGCTGATTACACTCTTCATGGAATCATTTGAACTAGTCACATACTTGCTGTACGACGCTGTGTCCGATGACGGCATAATTGAGCGAGAAAGACTTGTCGATCGGAGGCATGACGCTGTCCAGACCGAGGTGAACGGTGTTGTACACGGTGATCAGGTGCGGCATTTCCATCCTGAATGGCGGCATGAAGAACCTGCTCGTGTTAGCGCTGGTGTCCAGCAGTAGGCTCACCATATACTGTGCGGTTATTCGGGTCAAGTGCAGGTAGTTGTCCAGGTAATTGGCGTCTTTCTGGTCCGGCACGTGCGCATACAGCCTGGGCAAAACCAAAATCACGTATGTGAATGAAACTACCGCCATGGTCATGTAAATACGCGAAGCCCCAGTCTATCCCTTGGGCTCTACAGAAATTGTAGCCCACGCTATGTTTGTTGCTTTGGACTCTGGTGCCATCTAAGCCCCTCCCGGAAACCTGAAGTAAAACTTTACAAGTTTTTGACACATGCCCATGACACACTTGACAAATGCCTATGATTTCTCATTTTATTACAAATTTCGCCGAGTTCATTTGAAATAAAACTGCTGCTATGGCGGCATATTTTCCTCAAGAAACTGACCTACAGAGAACCAAGTGGCTTTGATGAGACAAAGTCTGAACCGTAACTGAATATCACATCAGGGTTCCCGCACGACACCGGTGGCGTCTTAAGTCTTCACGCGATAGCATTGCCTATAGCGTCTGCGAAAGCTCAAAATATGTAGCTGCTCTGGCCTGCATGGAAATGATGGGCAGTACATGGCTTTGCCTTAACACAGTGATAACTTTGTTTTCAAGCGGCATGGCATGCTTCTAAATTAATAATGTTCATCAAAGTACCGGGCGTTTCAGTTAAATTGAGCCGAGGGCTTAAAGAATCTAGTAGGTGCTGTGCGTTCCACATTCACGCAGTAGTAATCAGACTCCTGTGGAACAGGTGACATTACGTTCATGGACAGAGCTGTCTGAATAGCAGTGATAAATTGATCAACTTTTCTAATCTAACTTCAGCGAGAAACCTGCGCGAAGCTTGTGCTACGTGCTAAGAAACGTTGCGATCTTGCACGCATGCAAAAATAAATTTCACAAAAGAATTTTTTCACCTTTCAATTAAAGAGACCGTGACACAAAGCATGCCATATTGCAACGCACTCACGGACAGCGCTTTTATTTGTGAGCTTGGCGCGCAGGGTCCTCCACGCACAGACATCAAAAGAAGTAGCTGTTGTTGAGTGCGATAGGTGCGAAGTGAGGATATAGGGTGAACATTTTTGAGCGGATAACAAATTAATCGATAAAAAAAACGTATTCGTTCGCATGGGAAGATTATACGGCACTAGAGCTGGCCTAACGCTACATTCACATAGGCCACATCGAAGTATGGCGCTACGTCTCCATTGCCAGCCTTCACTTGTCGAGCTCTTGATGTCACTGTTAAGAAGCAACCACTGCTTTCAAACCAGTGTTTTCATGACACTTTTTCTTATTTAGCGGGAGCACTACGTGAAGCCAAACAGGATCAAGCCACTTGTGGTATTGCGATTGGCAGCCTACAATGTGTTGTTGTTTAAGAGTTGCGCGTGGCTCCGCCAAAGTCGTGCATGGCACAAGTGTTGTCATCTCTACCGTTTCAAATAACCTTTCTCCAATGAGGACAAGGTGTTTCTAATCAGCCTAAAAGACGAATGAACGTTAACCTAAAGGTGACAAATGAGGTTCCAGCAAGGTTTTTATGTGTTTGTAGCTGTCGGCACTAAGTTGTGGTTAACGTTATTGACTATCGTTATATCATTGGCAGAATAAATACTGTTAAACTGACCTCAGCCTATGATTTGAGCAATCTGAAAAATAAGATTGTAGATGACACATAAATATTATTTATTTCAAATGTTTAGCCTACTGAGTACTTTTGTCTCACAATGTGCATAAAAACTCGTCACGTTTTACTGGCCAAGCACATTAAAAAGCAAAAACTAGTATTTGACGTTTTAATTCCAATGCTCTCATATTGACTTTTTCCAGTAAAATACAAAACTAAAGGGCCCTTGATGGTAAGGCATGTAAAGCTACTCAAACTGTGCATATGTAATAACTAATAAAATGATAGGCTATTTTGTAATGACGTGGATTGAACATCAGAGCACAGATATATCCTTTCACAACGCATAAATCGCCGAATGAAAAAAGGTAAAATAGAATACACAATACAAAAACATGAGTTAACAAGCTAAAGACTTACACTTGAAGGAATGCGAGCGAATAAATTGACAACCAGCCTTGAGGATCACACTTACACTGATGTGACGACAAAACAGTGCCCAGCTATGTGAATGCACTTACTGGTGGATTTCGCTGAAGCAACGTGGCCACAAATCTTTCAAGCTGTCCGTGTAGTTGGCTACGTACGTGCTGTGTGCGAGGTTGTGTGATGTCCAAGGGGCTCAGGAACCACACGATATAAAGACCAACGTAGGCGGAAACCTTGATAGGATCCAGTGACGTGAACACATTTTGAGACAGGAACTTCCGCGTACTCGTCGTCGACTACCAAGCACGTCGTGCGCACGTTCTGCAGGGTCTGAAACTTATTGCCAAGGACTTTCGAAAGTGCGAACCAGAACTCTGTCAGTGGATACTGGCTGCTCAATTTAACTTGGGTATTTAAAGCGTCACTTTCTGGCAAGTGAGAAAAGTGCCTGTTTACGATTTGTATGGCCTTAATGACGCGCGAGTAGAACATGCTACGTTCGCCTATTATTTCAGCGCAGTGCCTGATATACACGTCGAGACTGTTGCCCAACTGCAGCTGTAAGGAACTTGACGAAAGGGACTATGTGGTAACTAGGTGCGAAGTACCACGGCCAAGGCGAAGATTATAACCGATCGTGAGTCTAAAAAAGGGCCCGATGCCGATGTTACAGTTCATGTTCACGATGCCGCGTACGATGAAGTAGACAGACGTCGCGGGCGTCTGAGGAAACGAGAAACCTTCTGCACTAAGTACAGTCTTGATCTTGTCGATGTCCTCTGGCGTCTGGTGTACACGTTTCATACAGTTCCGAAGCAGTTTGGCGGCCTTCTCAACGCTGCTTTGACTGGACGTGGTTGGTGTGGTTGATATCAAGTGAAACGCAGAGATCCTTAGTGTGTCGTGAGCCTTAGTGTGGTGGTTCGAACCAGCTCTGCTGCAGGCGTACTTATAGAAGCCGTAGCAGGGCGTGAACGATGGTTCAATTGTGTTGCGTATGGCTATGCTTGGCTTGTAACAGCGTGGTCCCCTGCATTGCATGAGAAAATGGAACGGCAGCAATGGCTGCAGAATAGTGATGGTCAGTGTCACGGCTGTAACCGACACCAGGATCACGCGGTACTCGGTGGTGCAGTACCAGGGGTGGTGGTGTGATTTTGGTAAACTAGACGTCGCTCTTGGTCAGGGCGCTGAGTTGAACGGGTGCGTGGAATGAGACCGATCGCGGAACGCGGCTTCCAGGCCTCTTGGCGAACGCGGAACGACGAAGACGCACAGGGCCATCGGCGTTCGCCAGACGGTAGTGGTGAATCAGCGGACTTGACCACCTGCTCAATTTCTTCGGTGACGAAGCGGCGACCGGCGGCCACGAGGAACGTCGATGCTGCGAGATCCAAGCACACAATATTTTACTGTGCAATTCAGTTATATAAATTCGTAAAGCTTGTAATGTCTGGCCAACCTTGAATAAAGCAAGATCATGGTGTGGCTATGATATTCCAGGAAATGGTTGTAGCCTGGCTCTTATTGTCCCATTACACGGCAGACCACACGCACATTTTGAGGCCTACCGCTCAGTGTGCGGATATTATGTGCCTTATAACTATAAAATTAGACGGTGATATTACTTGCGTACGCAAAAATCTGTCCCAGCGTTGCTACCTATCCATTTGTACCACTTTTAATTAATTATTATAGGTTGACTCTGCAAGTGACAACACAAGCACGACGAATTTATTCACAGAGTCACCGACGTTACGTGTGCAACGAGAGACGCAGACGTCCAGAAGCACCCCGTATTACCAGCGATTCACACTGCCAGCTTGAATACAACTACCGAAGTACAGCGCATAAACAAGAATATATAAGCACAAAAACACAATAGCACGAGCGCAGAGCCACAGTGACGTCACTATTGTTTTCTTATGTTACATTAGCGATGCCGCGTGCCGCATTTGAGACGTTAGCATGACAACCCAGAATGACAAGACATGCCGCACTTCAAGGTCCTCCTAATACTACGAAAAAATTAACAAAACGAGCGCATTGTTATCTCCTGGCGTCTCGTCTTTCCAGCCCAATTTGTGACGCCTAAAGACTGTTCACGCGACGTCATTCTTAAATAAGCTCGCGATTGGTTCATGTGCGAGGTATGTGTTGTGAATTGCACCCACTGAGGTGGTCTAGTAGTTATAGTAATCTAACGTAACTCGAAAGTCACGGAATGGAATCCCGGCTGCATTTCAATGGGGCTGAGCTAACAGAAGACCGTGTACTTAGGTTTAGGTGAATTTAAAGTGCACAATATCCTCCCCTTTTTGTAGGCCTTCACTACAGTATTCCTCATAATCATATACTTTTATGGCTTAAAACCCCAATAGGTAACAATATCAGTCGCTGCTTGCCTACTACCTTGCTTTGCAATGCATTCTCACACCCGTTGTGCCTTGCCTCGCATGACTTTCTTGCGCTGTCCACTTATACCACTTCACCTTGTGGGTTTTCAATTACGCAAGCGGAGGTCATCGTGCAGCTGAGGAGCGTGAAATCCTTATAAGCTCAATAAGCAATTGTATCGGGCAAGTTGGTATGAATCCATTTGGTAGGAAGCGCTGCAACTATTACATGGAACATTACACGGTGTGTTCCGTGTATTAGTTGAAGCGATTCCTACCAAAATTGATAAGCTCAACGCTTACTTCGGACATTGTCGAAGTGTTTTATGAAGAAATTAACGGCCAAAAGGGATATAGCACATGTAGAAAGCACAGCGAAGGGAATGCAGAAACTACACTCATTTTTTCAACTCGGAATGGCTTGGCTCTTTATTTCAGGAGGCAGATTATTTTGACCACATTTTTAAGCTGTGTATAACTAAACATAAGCCAAAACATATTATAGTGTTTATACTTTTCTAGAATAATCATTGAATAGAACGTGCTTCCCCTATAGGTTGGTTTGCTATCTCTTGATTATTGCATATTTGATCGACCATTTTGGTCATGCCTGTTTTCTTCTCATAATACATTAACGCCCTCTAGTGGACGCAATGAATGCAGTTGGGTTCATTTCTTTGCTTTTTTATTTGCCGTTGTAGGTATAGGCATTAAGCAAGACCTAATAACGTGAATTGAGACAAGGTTGGTTAGATCTCACTGAGGAACTATTCAGGCCCACTAAGCAATGGGCAGAAAAAGTTGTCCCCGTAGGCCAGCACTTCAATAATATCGTTTCCTTTTTATTTGTCCTTGTTTTTAATAAGCGCAAAAAGTTACATAACAATGCAAGCAGTGTCTTCCCATTGATTATCTTGATAATGGTTTTCAGTAAGGTTATCAGATTCTGATTTAGTCGTTAGGATGTGAATGTGAAGGATGCGTCGCTAGGCGTCAACATGAGTGCGTGCATCCATGTCAAAGGTTGCCATGGCGGTCAAACTATGATTCACACTGTATGAATTGTGCTTCTCAACACTCGATGGAACTGCAACCATTCCTATTAAATCCCGCTAAGTTTTCATGTTTTAAAAGAGTCATATGTTAGAGAGATCAGCCACCTTTTTTCAATAAATGAGTCGGACGATTCCCTGAAAACACGCTTAAATTATACCGATGGTGTTGTCTCAATCTCTATTTTTCGACGAATATAGTTTCCAGTTTAATTTATTTTTGTTACCACCCTACCCGCAGATTTTGTAACATTCCCGCATAATAAAGGTAGGGAGCACAAGGCACCAGGTTCAAGCACGCGTAACGGTAAAAGTAGATATACTCCTTTCCTCAGGTGATCCTGGAGATGGCTGTATCGGCCGAATGCACCCGAAACTCTTTATTTTAAATGTGACTTCCAACCGCATTGTTTGTTGGTGGTACGTTTTTATGATTGAGCTAGAAGTTACAGCGTCAAGTGCCGCAAAACATTGCACACGGCTGTGAAATAGCAACCTCGCCTAAGCTACAGTGGCACACCGGAAGTGAATGCACCAGTTGGAAAGCTCTTACCTCCTCGGGTGTCAGCACGAAGTTGCTAATCACTGGACTGATGGAGCTGTTGCGCCGCCCCGAACTGTCAGATGGTGAGTACGCCATAGCAAGGTGCTGTATCTAACGTAACTTGCTCCGAAAATTCATACGCTGCGATAGAATATCGAATTAAATTGAAGCCGATCTCCCTAGAACAGCAATTGCGAGCGACAACCCTTTAATCTTCTTCTTCTTCTTCAGCATGTATCTTGCGCTGAAGCAAATATTTCGTGGTTTATTATTTATATACCGTACGACTCCTAAACGTAAACTGCGCACTGTGTAAAATACGACCGCGATTGAGGAACCATAGTTCTGTAATATGATATGAAGCCCAATCGTGAATGTAAAACACCAAATTTTGGTTTATTTCGAGAGGGGCCATAAAAGAAGCACATCAGGTTTTCACTCATTGTTTATTTCTACAAACTTTAGTACGCTAGCTCCTTTTCTGCTCCCTTATCCTCGAATTCACTTTTACAAAAATATACGAATTCTTCAATGACTGAAGTGGTAACATAGGGACCATTGTGAGTGTGGCGTACACAACATAGGAAAATTAGCCAACACCACAAATCTACACGAGCGCTTGTCTACCCGCTTGCCCCTCACTCATTCATGTTTACCCACTACGGGGTATTGACCAAGTATGAAGCCTTCGGATTCAACACGTGGAGAGTTGAGAAAGAAATAACAAAAGGCAAGGTGAAATGAACTTGTTTCGCGTAGTTTAGACGTTGAATAACTTTAGATACAGAAAAACACATTTTGAAAAGTGCCCCGCAGGTCGCGGGATCAAATCCCGGCTGCAGCGGCTGCACTTCTGATGGAGGTGGAAATGTTGTAGGCCGTGTGTTCAGATTTGGATGTACGTTAAAGAACTCCAGGTGGTCGAAATTTCCGGAGGCCTCCACTACGGCGTCTCTCATAATTATATTGACGCAAGGTACGCTGGCAACTATAGTAGCCAGCGTCTGAGGAGGACAATGAAGTAGTTCTGTGTGCGCGTGCTCTGATGTTCGCTTTTCTGGCCCTTGGGTTACGAAAATAAACGCCCTATTTTGTACCTGCGTACCTGTGTCTTTGTGACATTTTCTGGTGGAGGTGCGGAGTACGGTAGATGATACAGGTCCCCTGAGAGCACCCCTGACTCAAGTCCATCGAGTAGCTCAGCCGAGCTTACCTCTGTGCACGTACGTTCCAGCCGTCGTCTCCAGGGACTCGAGCCACAGCACGGTTAGCTGCCTGAACGTCAGAGGACTATGAATCAAACACCGCCTAACGTCACCGCGCCCGCACCAGCGCACCTGGTTATCAACCAGCCCAAGACGCCGAAGGACATTTCACGGAGCTGCTTTTGAAGATGCCGACGACTGGCTCGAGCATTTCGATCGGGTCGCCATCATCAACGATTGGACCACAGAGCGTAAGCTACGCTATGTGTACTGCTTCCTGGAGGACTCCGCGAAAACGTGGTTTGAGAACCATGAAGCAGCAGCTTACGTCATGGGATGAGTTTCACCGGCAGTTCCTCAAGGCCTTTGCCCGAGAAGACAGGAAAGAGACAGCGGAGCGTGCTATAGAGGCAAAGGGTTCAAGGTCCTAACGAAAGGGTGACGACTTACATAGAGGACATGGATCAGCTTTTCAGGCGTGTGGAGCCCTCTATGTCTGAATCCAAGAAAGTTCGCCACCTAATGCGTGGTGTTAAACAAGAGATTTTTGCCGGCCTGATTCGAAACCCGCCTGCGACACTTGCGGAGTTCCTATGAGGAAGCCACTGCCATAGAGAGGGCCCTTCAACCAGCGTGCCAGGCAGTATAACCGTGGTGTACACCCAAGTGAGGTCACATCTGTCACTTTCGTCAATGACATCAGCGCGTTGCGAGAGCTTATCAGAGCTCTCGTTAAGGAAGAGCTTCAAAAGATTCAGGTGACTGCTTCACCTGTAGAGCAGCTCTCCATTGCGGAGATGGTACGCACCGAGCTACGGCAAAATGTTCACGCTCCCCAACCGTCCGAGGCGCCACAACAGAGGCACTGCGTCGAGATGAGCTACACGGAAGCAGTGCGACGACCTCCATCGTACAGTTCAACCAGCGTATTTTACTCCAATGAGCGACACGCTAAGCAAATGAAGGTAGGCTTCCGTCCTCGCAGCTCACCATTGATCGCTGAAGCAAGACCGAGAAAGAGTGACATCTGGCGTACACCCGACCACAGGCCCCCTTTGTTTCCACTGCGGGGAAGCCGGACACGTCTACCGAACATGTCCATACCGTCGTGTGGGTCTCCGTGGATTTTCGCCTAATGCCCCTCGTCCACGACCTGGCGAGAGACCACTGGAAATAGAGAGTTTTTCATCTCGAATCGTCGCAGCATCGAACATCGGTGGCAAGAGCCTCACTCGTCGTCGCCTGCTCGCTACAGGTGACCGAGCCCAGCCTATTCACGCGGCGCCCCGAGACGCCGTTCACCCAGTCCTGCAAGTCGGGAAAACTGAGTTCAGCGACCTCCGGAGGTGAGGCCGCTGACGCTGACTCTACGGAAGATCCTCCACTACGACGACAGCGACGGCAGCAAAAAGATGTACAGATGCAGTTAAACGTGGTACGAAGAGTGTTTACATCAAACATTGCGGTAACTGTGGACGACGAAGAAGTAATGGTGCTAATTGACACTGGACAGACACTTCCGTTATGAGCATGGGTATAGCCTGCACGCTGAAGAAGGTTTTTACCCAGTGGGCTGGGTCGCAGTTACGTACGGCAGGAGGTCATCTTCTCACTACGGTGGGATGGTGCACAGTGCGAGTCAGTATTCACGGATTTGCGTATCTCGGAGATTTCGTAATGCTGTCGAGTTGCTCGAGGGACCCAATTCTCAGACAGGACTTTCTGCTTGATAATGAAGCCGTGATTGATTTGCAAGAGTCGCAGGTGACGCTTTCTGCGGCACACGCGTTAGCGCACAACCCTCACGGCAGTTACGTCAATGCTTTGAGAATTGTTGACGATGACGTCACGTTACCAACGAAGAAAAGCGTGTTGACCTTGGTAGCCTGCGACGTTTTCGATGAATTCAACGACTATGAAGGTATTGCAGAGGCAAATATCCCGCTGCTGCTCAAACGAAACATCTGCATAGCCCGATGCCTTATTCGGTTAGAGAATAAACGCTCTCAAGTTTGGCTGACCAACTTCAGCAATGAGTTTCAGCACGTCCCTAGAGGCACTACTGTTGCTTTCCTCAGTAAAATCGCCGACTTTTCCGATATCGGCGCATTGGATACGGCTTCACCACATGCAAAAGCTTGTGCTGACCTGGGAAGCTGCAATCACGTTAATCCATATTTGCCAGATTCACGAAAAGAGCGGCTGCTAAACCTTGTAAGGGAGTTCTCGGACTGCTTCTCCACAGCATCGAAAGTTCGGCGTACCACCGTTACAAAACACTGCATTGTTACCAAGGAGTCGGCGCGGCCTCTTCGCCGACATCCATAACGTATGTCCCCGAAGAAAACAGGTGATTAGGCGTCTAGTTCAAGAAATGCTGAATGATGACGGCACTCAACCCTCGACAAGTCCGTGGGCGTCACATGTTGTCTTAGTAAAGAAAAAAGACAACACAACAAGCTTCTGGGTCGACTATCGACGGCTTAACAAAGTCACAAAACGCGACGTTTACCCCCTGCCACGGATTGATGACGCCTTAGACCATCTATGCCACGCCCAGTTCTTTATATCATTAGATCTCAAGTGAGGGTACTGGCAAATTGAAGTTGACGAGGGCGACCGTGAGAATACCGCCTTCGTGACGCCTGACGGGCTCTACGAATTTAAAGTGCTGCCTTTCGGTCTCTGTTCCACTCCCGCCACGTTTCAACGAATGATGGACACTGTACTAGCTGGACTAAAGTGGCAGACGTGTCTTGTATACTTGGATGATGTCGTTGTGTTTTCAAGCACGTTTGACGAGCATCTTTCAAGGCTAAAAAGTGTCCTCACTGCATTAAGGAGAGCGAACCTTACTATCAAGCCCGAAAAGTGCTACTTCGGCTATCAGGAACTCAAGTTTCTCGGGCACGTGGTGAGCCCGGGGGGTGTTCGACCAGATCCGGAACAGTTGGCTGCCGTTGTCGATTTCCCTCGCCCTGGAGACAAAAAGGCTGTTCAGCGATTCCTCGAACTCTGTGTGTACTACCGCTGGTTTTTTCAAAGAATTTTCGAAAATCGCGGAACCTCGTGCAAGACTGACATGGTCAGATGTGCCTTCCGTATGGACAGAAGAATAACAACAAGCCTTCGTAGAGCTACGCAATCGACTGCAGAAAGCTCTAGTGCTGGCACATTTCGACGACACTGCCGACACCTAGATCCACACAGACGCCTGCAACGTAGGAATCGGAGCCGTTCTAGTTCAATGGCAAAACGGCGCAGAGCGTGTGATCGCTTACGCGAGCCGCAGTCTCACAAAAGCAGAGGCTAATTACTCTACCACCGAAAAAGAGTGCCTAACAGTCGTTTGGGCTATTAGCAAGTTTCGACCCTACCTATACGGCCAGCCATTTCGAGCGCTCAGTGACCGCCGTTCGCTCTGTTGGCTTCCAATCTATGGGATCATCAGGCCGCTTCGCCCGCTGGAGCATCCGCCTTCAAGAGTACGACATAACGGTGGTCTACCGATCAGGACATAAGCATACAGATGCTGACTGCCTGTCTAGTGCTCCTATTTCCCCGACGTCTTCTGACACTGTACAAGATTTACCGTTTCTTGGCATCGTCAATGTGCTGCGGATGGCTGAGCTTCAACAGGCGGACACTGAGCTACTTCCTGTCATCATCATCTTCAAGGAGAAGACGTTATCGTCCTACGCCGGCTCTCGCGTGGTTTAACGACGTATTGCCTGCGTAACAATGTTCTCTACAAGAGAAATCTTGAGAAGCAGCCAGGAAACTTTCCTCCTCGCATTTCCAACGGCACTGCGTGAGGAAGTTTTGCAGGCGTGCCACGACGATCCTTCGGCCAGTCACTTAGGCTTTGCTAGGACCTGAGCGCGCATCCGA